AATGCTTTTTCCCCTTCATCAAATAATGATAAAGATGAGAGCTACTAAGCTCCAGTCATAACACGAAAGCCCAAATCTGTAGTTATTTAGATTATGTGCTAATCCGACACTGCCTATCATCAGTAGTGATCGCTTCGTGTTATTAAATAACAATACAGTAATTGTAATAACTAGATCATTCAATAAGACGCCGTAATTCTGTTTCGTTCATCCAATTATTATTCAGGTAACGTTGTGTGAAAATTTTATTATTCTCTTTTTTCTACACTTAAAAATTTGAAAATGAAATAAATCAAACCGGTAATGGCGTCACTTTAGCTCCCATTTCGTTATCAAAATAGTAGAAAATACTGTTATTGTGTGTCAATAATATAAATGTTAACCAATTAATTAGTTAAACCATTATATTATTTTTTTTATTCAAAACGTAAAAAGAAACAATGGGTTTATAATGTTTTGGCATAAAAATTATGGAGTAACTTAGTATTGAAAGTAATTATTACTTCCAATTATTATTAATACTTGTGCATTTAAGATGTTTTCGGATTATTAAGAAATACTGTGAGTCTTGAAATAATCGTTGGTTAAAACGAAATTCTGAATATTTTATCTACTTTAAGTTTAGCAGAGTCTTGTTTAATAAATCCACGGCGAATACAAAGTGATTTTTCGTATCGCCGATGAAGGATTACCCAATAGGCGCGTGTCTAGGGCCTCGTCATCTAGAGAGGTTTTAAAAATTACGTAGCAAAAAAAATAATATACCTCTAAACATTTAGATGACGTTTAAAAAATGTATATTTTAAAGAAGAACTTATTATTATTATTAAGTATTTTATTGTCTTTTTAATATAAAAACAAACTTTTACATAAAGGGCCTTATAATAAAATTGCGCCTAGATAGAAAGTCCTCCCAGGAAACACTCTTTGCAGATCGGCTTTGTGTTGTGTTTTCTTATTCCATCAAACCAATCCAATCCCATTTATTGACAATATGTTGCATTATAAATACAATTTCTGAGAATTCTATTGGAATTTCTATCATGTTCTCGTCTTGAATGTAAAGAATTTTCGTTTAATAAAGATTTAAATTAGTAAAACAACATTAAATAAATTTTACATTCTTTTGTACATAAATTACAAGGCTCTATTTTGTTTATTTTACAAGCAATGAAATTAGTCTTATAGCAGAAAAATTCATGTAAAACAAATACAGATTTAGAATTTATAAATATAGACTTAACGTTCATATCTGTAAGCTTGCTAAATAACCGGTTTTAGTTCTGAATCGTGTGATGCATGACGAAGTCAGGAATTTTTGCAACTCGCAATTCTGCATATCTGTTGGCTGATTCCTCGAGAAGATAGATAAATTAGCAACATACACTATCAATTTGTCAGTTTTAGCAGCTGAAACAATTGAAGTTGTATAGCATTACTCGGAATAGTTGTTATATATATCAATAGAGAACCCTTGTATAACGCAGTACTTATACGATGCTTCAAGATAAGTTCGTATAAATCCAGGGTCGGATGCAATAGGTGAATTTTTTTTTTTTTTTTTTTTTGCGGGACCCCTCAAACTCTAAATAACAAAATTAATTAACACTTTAAAATCTATATTTCAATATGTATATTAAATATTTATTTAAAACAAAATCCAATTATAAAAATTAAAAGTCATGAATCATAAGATAGACAAATTTCTACATTAAAAAACCTGTACCAAATATAAATACAACTACATTTTATTGAATATAAACCTATAAAGAGATATTTTATATGTTCCGAAGTTTTTGTTCTGTAAAATCTAAAACAGTATCAAAATCCAACTGGCTTGCTTCTTGACTCTCAATCGACATGATCGACACGAACTTTTTAAGAAAAAAATTTGTTGTTATATTTTTAATAATATACCTAGCTATTTATTTTTTATAACATGTACTATTTTTAAATATATAAATTTTGATGTGCTGCGAGGCCCCTTCAAGCGCGGGGCCCGATTGGCGCAAATTGCTCCAATTGCCTCAAATCCGGCCCTGTATAAATCATCTGTTTATCTTATTCTAGTAAATGTTCTTTTAGTTACTACAACATACTTGATCAAATTAGATTATGCATTTTCCTTTCCTACCCTTTTCATGGTCAATTTAAAGCCAAATGCATAACAATTCTGACTGGTCGAAATCGTATAACCTGGTGACAAGCGCACACAATTTTTATAATTGTATATTAGTGATTAGAAAAAGTTACAGTGATGGCAACAAAATCGCAAACAAAGGGAAGAAACCAACACCAAAAAGAAAATTTATAAGTATTTCTTTAGAAGAAAATATCAACATTTTGGATCAACAATTCCTACGATCAAACAAAATAAACAAAAATAAGAGAAAGTGTTTGTGCTGAGTTGACTTAAGTGAAAAGTGTGTTACTTCGGACATGTTGCCCGAAAAGCACATCCTCCAGAATTAATAAAGGCTGTACATCTAACTTTGTTGTGTGTTCCTATGTGCTTCGTTCTCTCCAATCTTCTGCTACTCCTAACAATTAAGTCGAGAACAAGAGGCAGTCAAGTACAAATGTGTTACATGTGTACGCGATGAAGAAAATGGAAAAGTATCTAATGATCTGGATTGAAAACTGTACCCAGAAAAATTTCCTTTGGATGGAAATGTAATAAAACAAAAACGCTATTAAAATTTACACACATTCGAAAGAACTTAGACAAGATATCTAAAGAACACACTGTACTGTACATGAATTTTGTGCTGGTAAAGAGTGATTTGAAAATTTTTATTTGAAAAAAATAACCGTTTTGCAACATCAATCCATTTTTTATATTTAATTTGAATCTCGCATAACGTGACATTTTTGTGGAACCGAACTATCCCGTTATAGGAGAGTTATCTGTATTTGTGATATTGTGAATGCAGTACATCCTCAATTTTGGAAATATAGAGCGATTAAAAAGAAAAGGTTCTTTGAGACGGGCTTAAACGAAAAGAAGGGATGTATAGTAGAGCGTCGATTATCCGAAAGTCATATATCCGAAAGAATTCCAGTCGGCAAATTTAAATTTTCGCCAGTGCTGTGGCGCTGCAATCTTTGGCTATGTCTTGGGCTACTCAAATATTTTACGTTTTTGATAATAAATTAACTTCTGAAGTATAATTTTTATTGTTTTTATATTTTTCAATATATTTATTTTGTTTGTACAAAATAAAAAAATAATTTTTAACGATACAATAGTCTTCGTTAGGCTTAACATCGACGAAAATTCAACGCGAAGCGACACGCAACGGAGAAAAATTTCAAAATGGGATAGGTTAATATATTTTTTCGTACATAAAACGATATTTCGGATAACCATTTTTTTTCCGCGAACAACCCGTCCCCAATTGATTCGTATAATCGACGCTCTACTGTATAAGAAACTGGAATCGCGTGCAGCGGTGTAAATGATGGACACGGAGGCGCAGATTGACATGATAATTTTATATTTTAATTTTTTTCGCCTTATTTCAAAGTGAAAGATTCAATGGTATAAGTCAGGGAGATCCAATCTAACATGAGTGACGTTGAGTAGGTCTCAAAACGTTCGTGTTGCTACTAACACGTGTTTTCTTCACGTGTCTAACACCTAAATAGGTGCTAATTTCATATAGAAAGTTCTCTCCAGAGGCTAATTTCAGATCTCTTCAAGGCAATGGAAATTACCATCGCCTTGGCAGATCGTTCATGTGTTGCATGGCTTGTATTAATGGGAATAAGGCAAAACTCTTTAGAAAAAGAATTATTTAACTTTTAAAAATTTCAATCTGTCTGAAATATAAATATCATTTTTAAAAACTTTTAAGCTCTCATAATAAATCTATTCATCAGTAAAAACGAGATATTGAAAATACGCATTTCAGAATAATTAATTCTTCAAACGAAATTTAAATTTCGAAAAATTTATAAATTACCAATTAAAAATCTCAATTTTTACGTAAACATTCATAAATGAGGTTTGTACAAGTCAATAAATTAGACTTTTAATTAAAACTTTCATTATTGTAGATTTAATTATGTTAAGAATTCGGATCCAAAGTACTTTGTAGATTAAGAATAATCATCTTAAAAGAAGCGTAATTCGTCATTAAATGAGCCTTTCGTAATTAGTAAATTTTTTTTACTAAAGCAATTATTGTAGACTTAATTAAAAGTCTAGATAAAATGGGTTTCAATTATCTTTATCCATGAAAAACTGAAATACGTTAGCAAATAAGATTCAAAAAATATAAATTTCAACATTCAACACTTTAATTACATATTTCTATGACTTTTACGAGAATCTTTGTTTTATTTTGCACCGAAGACAATATAATTTTATGGATTAACAACAACAATAATGATATAATATCCAGAATTATTATACATGATGATTATACAATTTAATCAAACAAAGAATCGTCTACGATGAGTCATTTTTAATATTTTTTACGAGAAGATTGCAAGTATTTTGCAATAACATTATCAGGAAAGCTGTGTCATATGAATAAATTGCAGTAGAAAAAATATATATATATACTGTATATATTTTCTACTATATAATCTTGTAAACAATACGTTTCGTTTCTGTAATCTTATCAAAATAATTAAATGTCATCTAAATTACACAATCAACTTTGATTTATTGGTACGATGATTCAATACTGGGCATTAATTAGTTCATTTTGAAGATGGAATTTTTTAAAGAATTACAAATTTACAGCTTTAAAAATAAATTTAAGGCTGTCTTAATTAAATAAATTAAAAATATTCGAAATTTTATAATTTATCAATTAAATTCTTTACAAATTACTGACTAATTTAGTGTCTACGTGATGCGTTGCTGTTATTATTTTGTTTTTGTAACTATAATTATTTTAATTAATAATTATAGTTACAAAAAAAAAATAAAATCGAAATAAAAATAAATATGGTTAATAATGAAATATCAATCAATTATAAGGTCACAATGATAATTATATTCTATCTAAATATTAAAATTATCACAACTGTGGTAAATTTTACGACTGGATCTCTAAGAGCTGAATCTCAATTTTATATTTAAAGAAATCTCCCCAATAATGGTCAGTATAAGTAGACTTGAATAAATTATTCCAGGGTGGTCTGCTGCACTACTCTAGTGACGTCCATGATTGAAAACATGAATTCTGGAATTCGATAATGCCGAATGGTGCACACCCAAATTCAAAGATCGACAAATTCACAGTTAAGTTCTCGTCGTTGCAACAATGTAATCTTAAGTTCATATTTATCATTATATAGGATGATCATAGAAGTATTTAGAGTTTTCCATTGAAAAAACTATTGGAAAAATCTCAATTTGGCATACACACTGTCCTGAATATGCGAGTTCAATCTTCGGACAAAAATGTAGCCGCCAGGGCTAAATTTAGTATTGTGGTCCCCCTTAACACCAGTAAATTGTATACAAATCTAAGAAGGTTGACCATCGAATTTCTTCCAAAAAGCAAAAATAATTACATATTCAAAATGTCCACCTAATGATGAAAATGAAGAAAAATCAGGCATTTTCATCTATGCATGGATAACTTAAACATTATGAATCAAGCCCGAAACATAATTAAGCTATATATAACATTAATATGTAATTAAAATAAATTATTTTTATGCATAAATTATCATGAAATATTGTAAAATAGCTTTGCAAATGTTACATTATTGTATATTTCCGTCATTAATGTGACCTTTAATCTGTCCTTTCGTTTCCGTGATGGATAGTTAGTTTTTACTGCTAGTAATCTAGACGATAATAATTATATTCGTTTATTACACAATTAAATAATGATTAATTCTACTATGATGGTTCGTTGTAATGCTTCGTATATCGCCACTACTCTAGAATACTAAACATTTAATATCCTAAGTAGAATGGTAGTATTTTCCATATGAACGATAAAATTCTAGAATAATTTGTTTTGATTTGATTGAATTCTATAAGAATGGCTCTTTTCCATTCTACGAACAAATTTATCATAAAATCATTTTTTAACTGATAAAATGAACTTTCCACTCTGTAGGCACTGTAAGTCCGGTAATAAATTCAGCCAAATTACAACGGGATGGTCGAGTGATGAAAGATAACCCTAAACAGGATAAAACACTTCCGATTCTTGAAAATCAGGCCCGAACTCGAACCCGGATCCCTCAGATGGACAAGTACGCACATGGCTGCCTCCATTAGCCAGTCGTCATCTCTCCCAAAAGGTATACCACCACTTTTGTTAGTATATCAAAAATTAAGATCACACATCACTTTAAACATTTTTAATGTCTAAATAGGAAAACTATCATAAATCCATACATTTAGCAAATTTAAAAATCATCATATATCTTACAACGCTAACCCTGTCCTACAAGTTCATTTTTTTTTTTTTTAACGAATGTACTTGTGGCCAAGCTGTCTTTGTATCCTGAACACTGGGAGTTCAGTTGTGGTTTCACACCTTGCTCGGATGGACTAGCCACATGGAGTTTTCTGGGTTTTCTCCGTCTGTAACGCCTAAATAGTTTCCCTTAAAAAGACCTCCCAGAAGGCATCCCCCAAGGCAGATCACCCAAGTGTTCATTGCCATAACTAGGCAAACAAACGAATGTAATCACAAACAAGAATCAAGAGTTCTGGTTAATTAACTTACATTTTTTTCATTCTTCTCTCATTTTGCTTAGTAGGTACTTAAGAGGCTTTTTTCTATTCAGATCATGGGTTTGGCCATGTCCACAATGGGGACAAGTAATTAAGGTAAGGCCCATGAAAATTTCCCAGGGATTTGCTTATCTGGGTTGATCTCATCCACCACTATCATTCCTACCCCAATCTCAAAAATCGTTACCAGTAAAAATGTTTAAATATATATATATATATTTTTAATGTATTACAATTATAACATGCTGCCCTGTAGGAACTAAGACCTTTTAATCAAGCTCATCATGAATTTGACCAGGACCACAATGGGATAGCCAAGTGGTGAATGGAACCTGATATATCACCCTAAAAAATTCAAGGTTTTTTGACTCATCCAGATTTGTTCCTGGGTCCTCCAGAGCAGGAAACTGACAAAGTGATAGTCATGTGACCATGTGGTTATCAGTATTATATGTAGAGTTGATGAGAGGAAGAGAAAGCAAGAATTTGTTTTGAAAATTAACAATGCAATTTTTATCAGTATTCTATTTTCTTTTGTGATATCAAATTTTTTTCTTTATTTTCCATTACATTAATTAATTATTTTCACGTTTTCAAATTAAAGATGTAGAGTCTAGCTGCAATATGTATATTTTTTATTATGAAGTCTAGAAAACTATTTTATGTAATTTCATATACATGAAGAAAAATGTAATAAACTGGGAATATCACATCAAAAGAGGGAACAGAATCCAGAAGTTCCTAATCCCAGAGCCCTGATTTTGTAATCATACATCTATGGAATGTATATCCATATTAGTGAAGTTATTATAAAAAGACAAGTGATTTATCTATATCAGACAGATTCCTTAGTTTCTTGGATGGGGCTGATGAATTTTCTCACTATACATTATTTCTAAATTAAATTTTCAAATATTAAAATCAGTCAATTTGCTGAACTGAAATCTAAAACAGAAGTATTTGATTTTATTTTCTAAACATGTAAATTATGAGCAATATATTGTTTTTCCTGAATAATTTTAATGATTAGTCCAAATGAATAAAATTAAAACTTAATAATTTCAATTACTCTTTTTAGAAAAACAAAATTATTAATTTCAGATTTATAGAATCTGGACAAACTTATATTAAATGTCCAGATTCTACACGCAATGTTTATCTATTTTATTATTCATAATTTAGTGACTTATTTTTAAAAACTATTAATAAATAAATAACAAATAAAATCAAACTATCTGCCATAATAATACAGCCAAAACATGCATACTATAATCCCCCTAATAAACAAACATCACTGCAAAATTTCAGAAATTTTCAACAAAAAAAATACAGGAGTTATTAAGCTTCAAATAGGGTGAACAAAATCATGCTCCTCCACACACTGACATCAAGACACACAGAAATTTTTGCATTTCAACATTTCAAGATCTCAAGTCCAAAAATGTAAAAATCTTGGATGTCATTTTTTGACCAATCACAATACTTTCCCTCTGTCATATATAACAGCTGGAAAAAACTAGAAAGTGGCATTAAAAATTAGAAGGGTAATTAATATAGTAATTTTAACACATGAAACTTCCAAGTCAAAGTTGCAGCTGGTAACATGTTGGCATGCAAGAATGTGAGAACACAACACAAGAGACTGAGAAAATGGCAGCATCAGTGCAGTAGAATAATGTAGTGTCATCTAACTTTTGCAAAGTGAGGGTATGAAACTAATCAACATCCATTGGTACTGTATATGCAGGTACAATACTGAAAAAACTACATGAATCAAACTCAGGTGTACGAATGGAGTTCTAGATTAAAAAATAGCCATAATTCTTTGAAATATTCTCTATAGTCTGGTTCATCATTCACTGTAGTCAAAAAAGAGAACATTGGCAGCAAAAGTGACATGGAAAAATTATTGAGTAACAGTTAAAGAGATGGCCTTCCTATTGTAGATGAGCACAATAGTGACAATCTGCCCATCACCTTATTCATGAGGTGGTGAAATTTCACAAAATCTGTACAGGTGGGTTCTCAGGCTACTGATGCTCAGATATGAAAGATACACACATCTATGCCTACCAGGAACCTAAGATAACTGAAGATCAGAGCTGGGTGCACTATTTCCAACAAGAAAGAGAAAGCATGAATTAGTGTCACAGCATGTACCCAAACCCAAGAAGTCACAGAACTAGGAAAGTCATGGACACACTATTCTGAGATAACAGGGAAATGCTTCCAAAGCACTACACACCCAAAAGAAATGTCGTATGGTTCTACATACTGACATTTCAGAACTGCACAAAGCCAAAAATTTGCACCAAGTGATTGGATCAAGTTGCTAACAGCAGGATATGACAATACTCATCTTCACACTGCCAATGTAATGGTGTTAACAATCAAGCATATGAGGTTTGAATGCATCCATCATATTCTTTACTTGCCAGACCTCACTCAGTTGAACCACCACATTTTCAGACTTGTGAAGAGAGACTGAATAGCAAAAATTCCAGTTAAATGTAGAGGTACAATCTGTAATGGTGCACAACTGATTGTGCATTCATCATAAAGGATTTCTTCCAAAGAATGAAAGGCCTTATTTGATGCTGAGAAGGTGCATTGAGAGCAACTGTGTTGAAAAATAAGTCACTTAATTTCAATACCTTAAAAATACAATCTGGAAAAAAAAAACTCTGCTGGCTGGGTCTTGACTCCGATCTTCATTGCTAGCCTTTCGAAAAAAAAAAAAAAAAACCTTTTCCTGTTGAACCAGCTCAATATTAACAAAAACAAATAAAACAGCAAAGCCACTCTTGGGATGAGACTGTGTCTTGGAGATGCAAGCAATGCATGCACAAATCTTGCACTCGCATCTGTTTGTAGAAACAGTCTCACCATTTTGTATTTTATTTTGACCCAGTTTTCAGTCCCTTGACTACCTACAAGTCTGGGTTTTTTTTATGTGCACATGATTTGGGCACCAAATACTCTGTGCCAAATTACAACTCTTGACATGCACTCCTTCAAACTTCTAAGGTGTCCAGCTGTTGACAGCAGTGCAATTTTAGAGAGGAGACATAGCTAATAAAATGAGCAATGTAATTGATGAGACTAAGTTAGAATAAATATATTTAAAAGATATATTACTTAAAATAAAATTTTAGTCTTGTTTTCAGAAATAAAAATTTTAATTTGCAAAATTATCTTTATTACTTTAATTATCATATACATCACACTATTTTATTTTAAGACACTTCAATGGCACTATATCTCTTATAAAAATACACATTTTTTTTAAAGTTTCTGAAAGAAATTTAAAATATTACTAGTAAAGATTTTTACATTAATTTATTTCTATCAGGTAAATATGGCAGTGGCATATAGACTAGATAATGAAATATAAAAATATGCACTTATGATATCACATCAAACATATAAAGTTCATCATTGTTAAATGATGAACTTTAAATATTTGTTTATGGATGTTAAATGACACATTAATGGTAAGATTGTAATGCAAGCATTTACCTCATTGAAAATAAATGCTATTACAGATAACAATAAGATAAATTTCTGATATCCATGATATCATGACAGATGAGCTCCTGAGCATTTACTTCATAAAAATTATATGACAAATCAATGAGATCCTGAGCATTTTATTCTTAGTATTACAAATATTTGATAAGTAGACAGTTTGCCTTAAATTTTTTTTTTCATATATTCAAAATGCACTTGAGATCTTTGTTTTCCTTTAACTTAAACCAACTAGTTTTAAATGCGGCCATTATTTTCTGAAATGGAATTTCTTCAAACACCGAACAGGCTGTATTTGTGCGAGAAAATGGTTCTACAAAATTAACAAAAACAAAAATTTAAAAAACAACCACTAAGATTAAACTATTGAATTCATTTTATTACCTTCAATGCATATATATTTCCAGTGTCCTTTTTTATTTTTCTGAGATTTATAAGACATCACAGTTTGTTTTGGTAACTTACATCCTAAACGTATTGATATGGCATCTTTACTGAAACTAAATTTTTAAAATTATTATATATTAAATCTAATATTTTATATTTATACACACATTTGAAATTAAATGACAGTTACTAGTTAATAATAATCATCTGATAAATAAATTATTATTTTATTTAGATACACAACAGAAAATGCTATTCACTCAATTTCAAATAGAGAACAGAAAAATATTAAATAATTTTGATATCCAGAAAATCATTATTTCTACAGTTAAAAATTAATACATAATTTTGGGGAANCTTTGTTAAATTTTTTCTGATTTTAATTTGTAAGTAAAATTTTATTATTTTTATTAATCATGAATTGCAAAAAGGCAAATGAGAAGCAACAGAAAACTAAAAAAATGACTAGAATCACAATGAAACTGAAAAAAGATTGGTGAGAAATATGAAGATGGCACGCGTGTTCGTGATTTTAACTGTTGCATATCGCATTCCGAGAACAACGATATCGACAATCGTGAAAAATAAAAACATTATTAAATCTGCTATCATTGTGAAAGGGGTTAAATCAATTTCTAAACAGAGATCGAAGACATTAGATCATGTTGAGAAAATGCTTTTGCTTTGGATAACTGAAAAAGTGTGCTAGAGACATCGTATCAGAAGCAATTATTTGCGAGAAAGCTAAAAAGATACATGCTGATCTCATGAAAAATCAAGCAGGAACTAGCCAGGAAAGCGAGGTGTTTCAAGCCAGCCACTTCTTTTTACATGAGAACGGATTAATCATTTTTGCATTACTTCTTATGGGAAAGGTTGGTTTGGTATACGTCCTATTCGGTATAAGTCCAAACATCAGGAACGGATTAAGGTTGTATACAGAGGTTCCACTGTACATTGAGTTTAAATACCAGACAGTAAATTTGTCAGTGAATGGCTACTAAACTCACCCAATGTAATTGATCTAAACAGAATAATTTTAACACCTATAATAAAATTATTTTCTGTTAAATTTTTTCAGAGTTTATTTTATTACTACTACAGTAGACCCCCTATAACACGGTAGAAAATTCCGTGTTATATGAATTCCATGTTGTACGAGTCACTTAGATTTTACAAATATGTGAGCTGTTCACAGCCCAGCACACATATTTATAAAATCTAACTGACTTGTACAACATGGAATTATCTACCGTGTTATAGGGGGTGGTCTACTGTATGGGACATTTATAAATTTTATTTTATGACTAATTATCTATCATTTATTTTTACACTTAATTTATGTAACTGGAACAGTTCATAAATATTTACAATTGAATTATGAGGGTGGCCAGTGAGTACAGGGATGAATTTCTTGATACCCACTTTCCTGTTAAGGTACTTGTACCATGCCATACACACATGGCATCGTCAAACATACATTAGTGAAAATAATATATGAGCATGTGCTTGTGCAGGGATTGATCTGAAAAATTAAAAACAAAAATTGCCAACTATTTCACTAGTTTAAAACATTTTTTGCCACCAGTTTTACTTACTAATTAATTCATGTTCTGGTAACTTCATCAGTTTGGAGCCCAAAAAGCACAGTAACAAGTTATACTGTCACTTAGAAATAGAAACCATTTTTGAATAATTTTTTAATGAATAATTCTGAATAACACATTTGATCACAATACTTAAACAATATTTCACATGTTCTGTCATGTAAACATTTTTATGCTTAGTCAATGGAAAAAGATCAAAGCAAACAAAATGTCACCACAAAAAAAATTTCCCCAAATGTTCTCAATCAATAAAAAATACTCAATATGGAAACACTGGAAATCATTGCATGAAAAGTGCCTTTGGTTTTCAACATCACTTCCTGCTTTCCTATTCAAACTTACTGTGTAATGTCATGACATCACTAGGTGTCTGGTGCATGGGATGCCCATTGCATAAGTGCTTGACAGCTGCTGTTTTTTCCTGAAGTGTGATTTAAGATTCAATTTCATCCTGAATGTCAAAATAAGTGGACTATGGTTTTTATCATCACTTTAATAAAAATATTGCCAAATGGTGATTTTGATACTATGCAGCATGACCCCTACTTGTGTGTGTATGCCACTGTGCCAAGCTATTGTCTTTGCTAAGATGTGTTCAGATTGAAAGTTATTTAATATTTCAAATTTTATACAAATGTTAGTTTAGTTAAAGTAAAATGGATTAGAGTCTACATTAGTCTAAAAATAAAGCAACAAAGATAACAAAATTAAAATTAAAGGTATTGTTAATTATTATTTTGGATTAAATTCAATTCCAAAATTATTGTAGCTATTAGTTAATGTTAGTATAAGACAACAGTTTACCACTTGCTGTTATAAAAATTATATTAATTATTGATAGTTAGCCAAACTAAGTCTGAATCCAGAAATTAATATGGTTATTACAGAATATTTAGGTATAGTTGTTTATGTACAGTACATCTACAATGATTTATTAACAGAAATGTAACAAAGCAATATTTTAATATTTGAGATGGGAACTTCTAAACTGCATATTTGCTTGCTTTCAATGGCTACCTTGGAGGCATGAGATATTCAGTAGAGTGGATTATATAAATTTATTTTGTTCTTGCAATTTTCTGTGGAATAGTTGCCATTGAGGGTTATCCCCAAAATTACAATAATATAAGAATTATTATAATTTTTTTTTTATAAATTCACAAATCAGTTATGAAATCCACAAAATATGTATACATATATATGTTTGTTATATTTTCATTATTAAAAATCACACAAAATACATACTTGAATTTATTACTATAATAATCCAAAAATCCTATAAAAAGTTCTCCCAAGTCTTGTTCATTTTTTGATTTAAAAGATGGTAGATTTTGAGTATTTAATCTTCTGATATCACCAGTGGAAAGAAAGAGATTCTGAAAGAATTTTATGTAAAAAGTAAACTTAAATTCATCTTGGCATCAGTAATGATAAACTAAAGGAATATTAAGATAAAACTTTTTTCTTTTAGTAAAGCTAAATTTTAATTATTAAAATTCATCATAATCAAAGATTTAAATAAATAAAAATATCAGAAGGGTTTTACATAATATTGATTAAAATAGAAATCACAGTAGATGCAGAAATAGAAAGTATAAAAGATCACACTTTCATTTCCAATTAGCAAATAAAATATAGTGTGCATTACAAATTAATAAAATACTAATCAGCCAGTATTTTATTTTGAAGAAAACATATTTCATATATGGTAGGTGTACTTTATTAATAAATAAATTATTATTTTATTTAGATACACAACAGAAAATGCTATTCACTCAATTTCAAATAGAGAACAGAAAAATATTAAATAATTTTGATATCCAGAAAATCATTATTTCTACAGTTAAAAATTAATACATAATTTTGGGGAAAACTTGCAGGATATCTGTGCTGAAAGATAATTTGAAAGGCATAGATATGCAAATAGAGCAGATTCGCTAATTTTAAATTCTAATCATGAGTTAAAGTTGATTCATACTATAGAACATTTTTCCCTAGATTCATTTGAGACTACACATTTTATCATCAGATCACAAAACATGAGAGTTAAACAAAAAAACACTAACACTTTGAACATACATTGAAACCATTGATTTGTAACAAAATTCTAAAAATAATTGATGATACATTATANAATAAATAAAGATTTAATTATACTTATTAAATTTAATAAGAGATGGCACCCAATGCCTACCTCTAGTGCCAAATTACTCAGAATTTAATTATTAATAGTAGCAGTAATGAGCCCAATTTAATCTGTCAATCATTTGACTTTAAAAACTATATTCATATTCTTATACACTTTTATCTACTTCTATAATCCACTTTTATAATCAATCATCATTTAAATAGTAATTTAAAAATCACTTATCAAAATCTTTCATTTGTGATCATATTTAACATAGTAGTATCCAAATTGGAAAAATATTTCTACTCTAACAATTTTTACATTCATTAATGATTCACTGACTATATTAAGTTGTATTTCTGGAAAAAAAGTCAGAATATCATAAATAAGATATTAACAGAATTCTGCTAAGTAGAATATTGCAGCAGATTAATACATCAAACTCCTATATAGAGTTGATAATACACTTCATCAGAGATTAACTATAAATTATAGTAAACAATTTCAAATAAAGTACAGTATTTAATGCAATTGTACAATTAAATTACATTTAAAATAATATTTTAAAATAATTTTAAAATATTAATATTTTTAAAATAAGTTTAAATTTTGCATAACAAAAATGTTCATATTATCTTGCTAACTTAGCAATTTCAATAATAATGCTGAAATTCAAACAAGATTTATGAATATTTGAAAATAATGACAATACACAAATTTTAAAAATAATTACAAGAGACACTAAGTTTTTTTATATTTTATAGTTTTTGTAATCCATATTCATATCAACAGATTGAAAAAGTAATATTATAATCACATACTATATTGGTAAACAATAGCTACACTGTCAATATTGCTTGAATAAAACCAAACATATTTAAAATATTAAGAATTACTTACTTTAATGAGAACCAGGATGTCAATTAAAATAGTTATAATTTAAATACAAACACAAAAATAATTTGAAGTTTTTTGTATTTACTCATTAGTCTTTAAAACTATAAAATTGCTCTTAATGACTAAAATAATTTAGTCATGTTCTTCTTCAAATTATATACTTCTTTTTAATTATTTTCAGAAAAAATGAAAATATGAAATATTAAATTAATATAAATCATTATAAAAATATGTTTCTCTTATCTATACTTACAGGTTTCAGTTTTTGCAAGCATGGAATTACAGGAGGAACACAACCACCTTTAAGGTAAAGATATTTAAAACTTTTTTAATCATCATCATTATAAAAATAAACTCAAACAATTAAATAAATAATTACTGGAAATATATTTTACAGATAGCTTTTTCTTCAAATAATTTATGATCAGTCCAAAATAAAAAGTAAAATTATGTTATTTGTAAAAATTACAAAAAATGAATAGTAGTACAAAAAACATTTTGAAGTTTCTACACATCCATCCCATCTGGTTCTTACAAATATCCAATGCCAGTGGTAGTTTTAGACAATTTGCATGTGTCATTTTATAGGCAGAGAAGGACTATAAAAAAAAAAGGTCTATTCCACTAGTGTTGTGTTCCAATGGTTGATTGGCATAATTACATCATCCCCACCTACGAGCTTACACAGACCCTCACAGGGCATGGCAACATACAAGCTATCTCCACAGATTCAAGAAGCGTAACAACAACAACTGTGAGTGCGACAATGACTCAACTGGTGACTTATTCCACATTCTGTGGGACTGCCCCACCCATGATAGAGTACGGCAGCCTCTGTACCAACACTGTGCCCTGCGTGGTCAAAACTGGCCACCTAGACCAGACTTTCTGTGTGAATCTAAAGAAACGTTTAAGATGTTCCACAACTTCATACGGAAATGTAAGGTCTTCAACACTCGGCAAAGCAACACGACAACATAATGGACGTTCTTCCAGCCCTAAGTGCAAGACCCCAATAGGACTTATCAACCATCATTAAGCCAAAATGGCACTCGGTGTTAACGAATGTTTAACCATTGTTCTCTTGATCATCGGCCAGAATGGTACTCTGTTGTATATATTTTGTATTCTAATTGTTAAAATAAGGCAATTCAAGTCATCAGCGGTATCCTAACTCCTCTTATCCTTCCTACCACTACCATCCTCACTTCCATTCCCAATCTTCATATCCTCCCCAACCCTCGCCTTCCTTTTCCACCCCTCCTTTTGGGCTAAGTCTAAGGACAGCCATCTATCTGTTATAAAAATAAAATAAAAAATGGTTGATTGGCACAGAAGACTTCAAAATGTTTTTGTATTAATCTTCAATTTTGTGATTTTTTTAACATATTCCCATCCTGAGTTTAAACATTTTTATTTTTATGCTATTTGTGTTTCTTAATAATTGTTAAATAGTATTAGAAGATTTAATATGTATCTTTTTATTCTATTGAAATAAAACAATATCAATTATATGAAAAATATATTTTACAAATTCATGACAAATATTAACTGAATTTAATTAAGATTGTACAAACAATGCTAATCTCTAATGCAAAAATGTTTCTACAGTATAATTAAAACAATAATTCCAGAATAAAATTATTTAACAATACAATTTAAATCCCAATAAAGAAGTATAATAAAATAAAAAGATATCATTAACATAATGATATTTTTACTTTGATATCTAATTGTAACTTTTCATAAAGAAAATTCGAACTTTTCTATTAAGATTTACCTATAAACTACAGGTAACCCCCATATAACACGGGAGTTACGTTCCAAAAAATTTCCGTGTTATGCGAATCTGTTATACGAAACAAAGAACTAGTGCGAAAAAAGGGGTTAGGTTCCAAAAATTAAAAAAACATGTTGTTAAATCCTTATTTAAATCAGATTTATTATTCATGTTTTTCACAGGTAAATTAACTATTTATTATTTAAGTAAATATTTTACCGGAGGATTATTCATTTTATATGATGATCTCAGCATGAGCATCATCAACTGGTAACAGTTTGTGGGTGTGTTCATTAATAGCAGTCGCTCTGCAACGGGAGTGCGCTGCTGTTTGTGGGCATTTAGGAACGACAGTGAAAGAAAGATGGTGGCGCCCACACTATCGATGGTATCGTGTGGAGGAATCTATAATTCTAAAATGAGCTTTTAGAGGCAAAAGAAGGGTCTCAATTGTAAAATTTAACCATTAAATGGATTATTTGTTGAAAGAGCATTCAAAGTAGCCACGAAAACAATTAGAATGCTCGCGCAGAGCAGAGCCGTAACTAGGGTATGGCCAATGTGGCCCCCGCCACAGACGCTGATTTAATAAAGGCACCAACAAGAAGGTTTCAGAATATGTATTTGAAATTAATAACGAAAAAATTTTTATATTCATATTTATATAGTATTTAAATGTCATTAGATAATTTTTTTAGAATAAAATTATTTTTTTTTAATAATAAAAATTAAAAAGGCACCATTTTTATTCTTGGCCATAGGCGTCCAAAATCCTAGTTACGGCTCTGACGCAGAGATATAAAAGAGCACACCCTTTATTACATTTTATGTTGTATAAGGGTTTTACCCAATTCCCGAACCGTGTTAGAGTGAACCCATGCTATAAAAGTACCGTGTTATACGGGGGATGTTCTTAATTCTCGAACCGTTTTAGTGAATATGTGCTATAGAAGTAAAGTGTTATACGGGGGTTACCTGTATTATAGAAATATTTACAAGAATTACTTCTGACATAGCCAATCTAGATATTTCCCATATTGATGTTTGCAACTTCCTTAACAGACAGTAATAAACTAAAAAACTAACTTACATTGTAGATAATGGATGACTAAAAGAACAAGTGAATAGCTAGATAATGTTTTTTCTTTTGCATTGTTAATATTATATTCTTGAGCCCATTCTTTTATTATCAAAACTAATGGCTGTACTCTCCAATCCACTGAAAAATAAATTTTTTAAATACACAGTATTAATCAAAAACAAATATTTAAATCTAACTTTTAATATTACAATAAATAAATGCTTCTTTATATTTTGATACATTTGTATTATCTAATGCAATTTCTTATTAGTTTATACTAACTTGATTTAATTATGGTTACACACTCATACAGACAATATGCTAATTTTAACATTAACTGCACAGACTAAACAGTATTTTGACAATTGTAGTGATGATTAGGTAAATTGGCAGAGCAGGGCTGGAAGCCAGTCAAAGAGATGGACAATCTCCAAAAAGAAAGCTAACAGATGAATAGGTCTGTAATCCATACATGTCATAAAACTGAAAGAGTTGGTTAGTTTTATCTTTTCCAAGAATTTGGTGTAGCATTTCTTACTACTTGAACAATTAAGAATATCTATATGTTTATATAGCTACCAAAAATCTCAGTATATCCATGAAGTATGCATGTTAAGCATAAGCAAATGTATGGTAATATGCATAAATTAAAATTGTTAATGCATTTTGCTCATTATATCTGTGCACCTTATAATAGATTGACTGTACTAAAAATACCAACAACACAAAAAACAAATTTTCATCAAGGAATCATTATATTTATCTACTGAAACATTTTTGGAAAGAGCCTCTTCCCATCATCAGTAGTAGTTAAATGAAGGGATTCTTTGATGAAGGTTTTTCTTTTGTATTGTTGATATTTGCCATGGAATTGTTGTTTAGTAGTTTTCAGCAAACTAAAAATAGTTGCTGATATTCAGTACAATAAAACTTTGTTGACCAAAGGTGTGTTACAATGCATTATCTGGTTCTATCTCAAATTTTACTCACTTTCAACAAAAAATTCAGGTGCTTGACAGCAATTCTTGATTATGTCTAAAAAATACATTCCTTGTGTTACCATGGTATATTTACTGATGAATATCAAAACTTTATGTGAGGAATTATTACAAAGGTGAGAAGTTGATCGTTTAATAATTTGATGACAATCAAATATTTGGAATATTTAAAAAGGGTTCATTTTCACTGTTTTTCACAGTTGACATTCAGGTGGTATTTTCAATAATTTTATGAGTGTTTTTATTACTGTAAATTTCACTTTATGAGAGCCCATACCCAGGAAAGCCCTATGGGTATGGTCCCTCATAAGATTACAACATTTAAATTAAAAAGAAACACACATGTAAACTCTATACATAAGATGATGCAGATGTTCTATTTGTTTTCTATTTTTAATAATCACTCAATTTTTTAATCTAAATCAATAATTAATAATGATTGTTTACTCTACAAAAAATTCTAATGCATAGAAGTACCATATAAGTGTCTTCTTTATTTTGTGATGTCCTTTACACACTTTGGGAACAAACTGTTCTTACGGTGAAGTCAACCTTTCTTTATAAGCTGTTTTCCCCATCTCAATATGTAAAAATAGTTTAAAATATTCTCAAGCTTTGGCACAATTGTATTAAATTAATTTACAATTAAACATTAATTAAAATAATTAAAAATGCCAGGACAATTATATCACAAAAAATTCCAATGCATACAACAGTTTTTACATATTGAGGTGGGAAAAAGCAGTCTATAAAAAAAAGTCAACTTTGCCATAAGAACAGTTTGTTCCCAAAATGTGTAAAGGACATCATGAAATAAAGAAGACACTTATATGGTACTTCTGTGCATTGGAATTTTTTTATAATGTAATATTTATCATCCTGGCATTTTTAATTATTTTAATTAATGTTTAATTGTAGATGATTGTTTAGTCTTTTTACTACACACACATAATTTAAACCATTATTAAATATCACCTCATAATATATAAATCAGTGCCATCTTAACCATTGGGCTAATAGGGCTGCAGCCCTAGGGCACATTGCTGCCACATCACAAAAAAGTTTTTTTTTATTTATTTTTAATTTTAGATTCATTTATACTTTTACTGATGAAATTGTTTTTTCAATTTTAAATTAATACCAGTATTCTGATATAAAAATAAAACTGTTGGGATGATGCAATTGCACATAAATCACTTTGAATAAAAATGTCAATTAAAACAATCCTATTAAGCATATATTTATTATAGTTCTTCAGTAATAAAACAATCCAAAAACAAACATTTGCTAAGATAGTCCTTAGAAAGCCCAACTGATTATTTAATGATTAAAATTCATTTCTCTAAGAACTCATTTAGCATATAATAATATAAAATAGTTTTGAATTATGCTGGAAGTTAGTACAGCATTTTCTACAATATTTACAGCTTTATACAGTGTCCTAAAACCTATCTACCAAACTTGGAGCTTTATTATAATTGAATAATGATATACAGTAGATCCCCCTATAAGACTGGTTCCTATAATTACGATTCCTATAAGATGGCAAAAAAATTGTGGCGGTATCCGTACACAACGGTAAAAAAACTCCTATAATTACGTAAAACATCATCGGGCAGCCGAACTATTTTCCCGCTGTCCAGCGCCACGCTACGGACAGTTTAGGTGGGTAAATTGAGTTTAGTTTCGTCTGTACATATAATTATATATTAATTATATATAAATTAGGTACTGTATATATAATTATATATTAACTTAATTTATTGTAACTTTATTATAATTATATACGGTAAGGTCTCATTTTATGCGGTGGATACGCTCTACAGAACAGAAAAGCGCATATAAAAAATTCACATAAAAGACTTTACTTGCCTTGAAAAAGTAGGGATACGTTCCGTAATTTTCTAAAATCGCATAAAACCAAAACAACGAGTTAAAATTAACTTAAAACCACATAAAAAAGTTTGCAGAAATTAAAAGAAATAGGCTGCTTAATAAATTACTTCGAATGTCTGAAAGAAATTCATATAAAAGCTTAAAATAAACTTGTATTCAAACTTAATTCAGTTTATTTTATTGAAAAGTAATACAAGGGGAATCCCCGAATTGCAAAAGCTCACTCTAAAAACAAATCACTGACATCTGGATGTGAAGAGTTAATTAAAAC